CACTATATTATATATATATATATATATATATACATACTTGATTTGACTTCAGGATTATTGTTTAGGCTTGTCATGGGTAATTTTCTCTTTCTGAAAAATGCAGTCATCTGTTCGGAAAGTTGCGTTGCAGAATGGTAAGGTATGTCTACAACTTGCTTACTAAAAGTAAAACTATAATACTATTTTGAAGTTTTGTGAGGATTTAAAATACTTATCCATGTTTGGTTTTTCTCTGTTGGGTTCTCCGTCATGGCTGGAGAGTAAGAAGATTTTGTCACTACATTTCTGCTTAGGCTCACAGGGCAGCTTCTGCCAATTGAAAATGCTAACATATCTATCTATAAGCTGCATTATCCATTTTTATGAAGTTTATCGTGTGAGAAAGAACAGGTATCTATTGTTGAAACATAAAGTGTGCCATCTTGGACCTAAGAGGAATCTTCTATTGCTGGCTCCACAGGTTGAGACTGTTCATGAAATGCAGGCTTCTGACTTTGGAGAGGGTTTAACTCTTCTTGGTGAGAGGTAAGGGATACATACATCATTTCCTGATTCTGGAAATAATGTGGAAAATGTGTTGTGATAACTGCTAAGTAAGTAATCTTTCATTTATCAGATTGGATAATATGTAGTACTTATATGCTGTTCTATCATCTCCTTGTAATGGTTGCAATTGAATTCTGTCCTGAATATTGCAGCATTTTTTTAACGGTTATGAGCACATCAAATTTTGGTAGGAATATATGTAAGCCTAGTGTTGCTTAAATATCAATAGCATTTAGCTTTTGTATTAGTTTTGGGTCAGTTGTCATTATGAAACTGCAGATAAGTAATATTGTTTCAAATAATAATGAACCAACTCGAATTTGGTGAAACTTTGTTTATAATCTGAAGTTTTGACTGTGATCTAAGTAGCAGTCTTTCTTTTACTAAATTAACAACTTCGGCACTCCCTATGTCCGATTTGGTTCTCCAACTTTGACTAGGTACATAGAAGAAGAAGTAAGAGTTGAATTTTTATTCTATGTCTTTAGAAATGGGTTTAAAATTATACATGTACGGAAAAATGTCTTCCCTTTAATGAAAACCTGCTTGAGATAGCCGAAAATAGAAACTAGAACAGTTAATTTGGAAGAGAGAGCCGATCTTAGGATTACTTAGATATTCATGAATCATGATATATTTTCTGGTGTACATTAGACCAGACCAAGTTTTCTCTTCTTTAGCTTTTTCCTTTTTGATCGTTGTGTCGTTTTGTTTCCTTTCCTTTATCTTTTAGTGATAAGTTTACTATTTTTGAATTTAAATTGATCACTAGTTCTTATGCAACAACTGTCGATTTTTGCAGCTTGTTCCAACTAACATGGTTGCAGGATACTGGTTTCATATATGATCGATACAACTTTAGCAAAGTATGCTTGCCTCCATTACTTTGTGTGCTTTCATTTGAATCATCTTCTTTTCATGATTTTAATTTGGATCTTGCTTGTTGGAATATGAAAGCTCCTGATGTATTTTATGAGAAAAGTAATGTCTGTAGGATTATTGCCTCAATTAACTTTCACAGCCTCCACATGTTAGTTAACTGTTAATATTGTGCTGTTTCATCCTTGATATGTGGTGTTAGGTCCTCTATTTGATTTGACATTCAAGTTAAGATTATCATCTTGAATACGAAATTCTCCTTTCCTATAACTTCACATGAAACTATGAAAATTTGATAGACTAAATCCTTCTCTTAAGAACCTGGCGGAAGCCCTTTATTGGAGCAACCAAATACTTTTTTATAGTTACCCCTAGCTCACTATTTTTAGAATTGAAATTATATGCAGTTCAAAAAGTTTACTCATCACATGCAAGATGGTTGGGGATTGGCAACTGATGGGAAAGTAATTTTTGGAAGTGATGGAACATCAACATTATATAAGATTGACCCTAAGACAATGAAAGGTTTTTCCATCTACAGTCTACATGATATTTAGTTTCTTCTTTGCTTCCTTAAAATGGAGATACTCATTTTCTTAATGTAGTCATCAGAAAACAAGTTGTCAAGTCTCAAGGGCATGAAGTGCGCTACCTCAATGAGCTGGAGTATGTGAAAGATGAAGTATGGTCAAATGTCTATGGGGTATAAATCTCTCTCTTTTTACCAAGTTCCATTTGGGCTTTGGATTTGTTTTTCCCATTTATTTACAAATTACACTATCCACGTATTTAGAAAGCAATTGAGCAACTTTAACAATAGTTGTTTTGGTTATGGTATTCAGTGGAATAGGTCCAGAAAACAACCTTGCTCGAGAAGCTAGTTGTATTATGTCATATAAGTTTGTATAACTTATTGGGTTTCCGAAAAATATATATATCGTGCATGGCATCACTGTACGGACCAATATTCTATTTGTGCCACTCAGTTAAGTCCTCTCCTTTTCTTATTCAGCTAGAAATTAGAGCAACCTGTCTCGGCAAGCCTCTTTATAAGCATACTCCCATCTGATATGGTTATGAGTATGACATTAAATGGTGGCAGATAACATTCTTTTTCCACAATTTGCAACAAATTTTAAAGTGAGAAAATAAATTACAATCACAAAAAAAATAATGAAGAAACATAATTTTATTCATCAAGATTGCGGGTACAATTCTGTTCCTCCCTTGATTCTACCCTCATAAAATTTATCCATGATTCGAGGGTCGTTTGTGGCGTATTTCTCGAAGTAGGATGATTTAGATTTGACCTTCTATATGAATATTCCATGACTTTTGTGGAATATATCGAGGTGCCTTTTAAGGGAATTTAGTACTCTTTATATAGGCATAAACTTGAGTTTAAGGTTGAGTAGCCTCTAAGAATTCTAATTGAAACTGAACACACTTTCTAGAGTCCCAATTCGAATTGAACACGTCTCGTAGAGTCCCACAAAATTTCAGTGTCTACAAATGCCCCTGCTTCAAGGTTTGTCAGAGTGTAGACTTGATGAAACTCAAAGACGAGGCTTGAAGTACTCAGTCTTTGTCGGAGTGTAGACTTGATGAAACTCAAAGACGAGGCTTGAAGTACTCATTCTTCCACCTTTGCAACTTCAAATTTTCAGATTTGATTTATGAGAGAAGAGATGAAGGGGAGATTTGGTCCCACTGGGTGTGCCAATTTGTTTGCAACAAACTTTAAAGTAATAGAAAATAAATTACAATCACAATAAAAATGAAGAAACATAATTTTATTCATCAAGATTGTGGGTACAATTCTGTTCCTCCCTTGATTCTGATTCGAGGGCCGTTTGTGACGTATTTCTCGAACTAGGATGATTTAGCTTTGACCTCTATATGAATATTCCATGACTTTTGTGGAATATATCGAGGTGCCTTTTATGGGAATTTAGTACGCACTTTCTAGAGTGCCAATTCGAATTGAACATGTCTTGTAGAGTCCCACAAAATTTCAGTGTCTACATCCACATCTGAGTGTCATATTTCTTTGCTCCAAGTTTGACACTGAATTAGAGACCAAAATAATGTTGGTATTGCCTTTCTCTGCAGACTGATTGCATTGCTAGAATTTCACCAAAAGATGGCACTGTGATCGGGTGGATTCTCCTTCAATCTCTAAGGTATTACCTTTTGTTCTTTGTCGTAATGTATTGCAGTTCACAAGTTCTGGTCAAGATTTGTTAACAGATACCTTCTTTAACTTCTTTCAGGGAAGATTTAAAATCAAGAGGCTATAAGGTAACGTTTTTACCGTTTTACATAAGATGCATTACTAAGAGCTGTTTTATCTTCCTCTCTTTCTCTGTCTCTCGCCTTTTCTTTTCCTTTTTGGTTTTTATTATGTTCTGTTGGTAGCCTTGGATGGTGTAACATTGGTTGATGATATGGATGGGTAATTAGCTGTACGGCTGTACCTTGTTCAGAGTGAGTGAGGAGGGAAGATGAAAGAAAAGTTAATAACCACTACACTAGATGGACAGAAGGCCATACTGATGGGAAGTGAGAAATGCTTCCATATATGAAATAAGTTACACCAAGATTTTAAGGATAATACTATAAACATATTGATTACCTTCATTTCCTCTCCTTTAACTGAATAAACAGGAACCAGTAAAGTCCTTAACTTCCATCATCAAAAGAACTTTATCCCTTGCGCTTTCGTATTCCCTTGCTCCCCCCACCCCAGGTTCTTTGATGCAAATATAGAGCGAAAGCTAAATCCTCTATTGCTCTTCACTGCAGTACTTTGAGGTCCTGAATGGAATCGCATGGGACAGAGACGGTGACCGTATTTTTGGTAAGAATTGATCATTATAGTATTCTGAGTGATCTTCATCAGCTTTTTGGCTAGATAGGCACTTAAGCTTAACCTCTTAGCATTTATTCTTTAATACACAACCAATTTTCAATTTTCACCAAATGAGTATCAATAAAATATTTCTAATCTTGAAGGCGCTATCTTCCCGTATGTTCTTATGTCATATTGTTGCTCAACCTTGTTACACAGTCTTCACCTTTGGTTTAATTGTCTTCCCTCTCCCTCTATCATTAACCTGCAATCCAAGCATTGGAAACTCTCATTCAACTTAACTAGTAGCCTCGATTTGTAAGGCACAAAACAATTTGTACCTTTGGTACCAATATAAGATGTCCGATAAAGGAATTTCTGCCATGATGCTGTGTTTTAACAGTATAATTTAGTGATCCTTAGAATTTGGATGGCTCTGTGAATGATACCATTCTGTTCTTCATTGCAGTGACAGGGAAACTATGGCCAAAGATATTCGAGATCAAGTTGCTCCCCCTCCCACCAAGTGCTCCATTAATTGGAGAAATCAATAACTTGTGCACCCCAAAATTAAACCATTCTATCTTGGAAATTTAGAGAGCTGATGATGTTTATCATTTCTCATGTAAACTTTTGGAGCTGTTTTTAGCAGCAACATCCATATCTTGATCACCTCTTCCTATATTTTACTTCTATTGCTATGTATAACATCAGCTACTTATGCATATTGCAACATAATTAAAAAATGGAATAAGGCAGTAAAAGTCGTAATTAGTTGTATCTGTTGTGTTTTAACACCCACTCTGAGTCCACATCCCGCTTCCCCTACAAATACCAATGACTTCTTTTGAGGCCTTTCAAAGATTACTTGCTAATTTATCCTTAGGGACATATTATCCAAGTCTAAGAGTGAAGCATTGGCAGGAACATCCATAAATTGAGTTTACTAGAAGACTGGAAACCATGGACTGGAGCAAATGTTGTTTAATTAATAATCAAAATGGTTCCAAAAAATTAAAGCATAACAAGGGACTAGCTGGGTATTTCACTATCTTTTACTTAATGCATAGTAGTAGCTGCAGCACAAGTCTGGAACTGAATCTTATCAACAGGTAAAGTATCAGTGGGAAAAGGACAATAAATATTCTTATCAGGCAACAGAGCACACGGCTGAGGACTGACTTGGCTAGAAACACCTTTTATATTACTGCAGTTCCATTCTAGTTGCTTAGCCTGTTCTGACAACTCAATGGCCACATTCGATATGCAAATTCCGTTGAAGGTATCACCATCTATCCCCGCTAATTTCCCTGCTATTGTCACATTCTTAGCTACAACGTCTTTTACATTGATTCCTTGAATGACAGGAAGTGCTTTCGGATCATAATGATCGTCAGGATGAGACCCATAATCGCCTGTTATCCAAAAGGTATATTTCATTGTCTGCAATGTCATTCCTCTCACAAACACGTCTTTAACGTACGCCCCTCTTCCTATAGCAGTTTTGATCCTCAGGCCTGATTCAGAACTAATTGCTGCAATGTTTTCAGCTCTCACATCTTGAATGCCACCGGACATTTCGCTTCCGAGAGCAATGACTGCACTATCAGGTGATATGCAGGTGAGGTTTCTTATGATTAGGTGCTTTGTAGGCTTTCCAAATGCTATTCCATATTCATCCCAACCACTTTTCACTGCTATGCAATCATCCCCCGAGACTATGAAGCAATCTTCAATTCTTGTGTTGGAACAAGAATCTGCACAACCAAAAATGAATTAGTAACTACTACTTCACTAGAGGATGTCATCTTCTCATATGTTTACTAGAGTCTGTTCTTGTAACAAACCTGGGTCAATCCCATCTGTGTTTGGTGAATCAACTGGTGCAAGGATTGTTAATCCCTTAATTACCACAAAACTGCATTTATTCGGAAGAAAAAAAAAATTAGAATCAAAGAGTACATATCAAAGTAAGTTAACAAGCACCACTAGGGAGTATGGTGGGATGATAAGATCCCTCCACCCTTAATCAGATGCCTAATTCGTCCATTGAGAATGGAGAAACTCCTTGTAGGCGGGTTTTCCTTTAGTGGGCTCCACATGGCACAAATCCAAAGATGGCCAGTGAATTATAAAAGGATATGATATAAACAAATGAGAGGAACAAGAAAGTAAACCTGCTGTAAACAGGATGGACATTCCATGAAGGAGAATTGATCAATGTAAGATTGGAAATCTGAATATGATCAGAAAACATGATCTCAATCAGGTAAGGTCGGGTGTTTTTCATTTGACCTTGTCGAAATTTAGTCCACCACAGTTGACCTTGACCATCTATGGTGCCATTTCCACCTAATCATCATCAACATACATATAAAACAACTAACACTAGAAGTGTTGGCATCAGTGTCTGAAATATTCATGATATTGAGGATTCATACGTCTGATCCCAATTAGCTTCAGACTGAAGCGTAGTAATTGTTGTACTTGGCATATTATTTTGTCTTGATAGTACAAAGAGGATATTTACCTGTAATGACTACATCAGTCAAGTTTGTTCCAAAAATGAAACTGATAAACCTTGGTCCTGGATTATCCCTTCCTATTCCATAAGATGGCAATGGTGGGATTAAATCCCACTCTGCCTCATCCTGTACAAACAATCACATATGTGTAGATTAACAACAACTGTTGCATCTCAAGTGAAGTCAAGAATTTCGTTAAGGGTATCCAAGATTCATAATATATGTATTAAAAAGTAAAGTTTGATCTATATAATTAGTAGGTTGCTACACCACTGCTTACGTCAAGGAACCTCGTCTAGGTTTGCTAGGTCAACTCACATATAATGTTAATGTAGTTCTTTTAAGTGAAATGCCTAGCTTACATAGAGATTCTTATGTGTCGTTTCTATAAATAAAATATCGAAAATTAATTAAAATGTGGAACATTGAGACAATTTTAGAAAAATGTAGTTGTGATAATACACAATTGGTTATCTTTAAAATTAATATGGTGTACATTTTCTTATTTAATCTGTAACCATTGATACCTGCTGACTATTTTAAGGGGTATCAAGGAACAAAATAAATCCTGGAGACCAAATTCCTCTGTCCTCCCATCTCTCGAATAGATAGAGCGGGAGAACAGGGCATTTGTTTGTTTGTAATGCTGTCAAAGAGTTGAACAATGATTTTTTTCGTACACATTTAAACATGAATAGATTCAATTTAGTGAGATCCTTCATTCACATTCTTTTTCACCAAAACATTTCTGGTTCGGTGATTAATTTATGTGATCAACCATATAGTTTTGGGGCTGATTTCTTTCCTTTTGACCCCTAGGATAAGAAAAAAGATCAAACCAATGTCCTTTTTCTTCTTCTTCTTTTCTTAAGGGGAAATAGAGGGAGGGGATTACAAGATGGGAAATCGAGCTCTCACCAATTTTCTTTGAAGTAAAAAAAGAAAGGGACAAGAATGAATGAAACCTGAGAAACTAGAATGACAGCATCCTGGTGTATATAAAGAGTGAATTTACTAGTTAGATTGAATGGCCCTGTTAACCATTTTCCAGGAGGAACAATGAGCTGTGCTCCCCCATCTGTTGCAAATTTGCTCAATTCATCTATAGCTTTTCGAAATGCCTCTGTGTTCGACGTTTTTCCGTCACCTTTGCCTCCAAAATCTGTCAATAATGCTGTGTGTTTTCAACAACTTAAAGCTTCATACTCAATACATTCCGCTGTTCTAAGACAAAGTATTCCCCATGTCAAAACGACCATCAATTTCCTTAGAAACTGTTCCAAAAAATAAAGAAAAATCCATAAGAATTAATGAAAATGGTAACTTTATAATTAATGGACATTGAGAAGATCTATGCATAATGTATATTGCCTAATTAAAGAGAAATAAATTTACATGGCATGTTGATTTGTGATACACCTCCATTGATGAACACAAAACTTTTGAATGAATGAATGAATATTGGTTGTATGATTCTGTTATATACTGTAGTGTAAATTGTGCGTCAAACTAACCATTTGAGGAGATTTTCACATTTGTAAGTATATTAATCTTATTCCCATAATTATGGCGAAAACTTTGCTATTTAAAAGTCAAGAGAAATTGAATTTACTAGATGCAAATTTGGTAATAAGAAATTTAATGATTTGGTTCTGAGCGAATCCACTTGCTATATTGCATTTGGAAAGTATTTAATCGGTAATGCAATTTTAAAGTCAAGGCAATCAATCTTACAAATGAAATAAATAAGGGATAAATCGGGACAATGGACTCTGAGGTATCAATTGTAGAGAAAATGACATAATGGTTCGTTATATTTAAGAGTAGGTTCAAAGTAATTCTGTATGTATTAATGCAGTTAATAAGTTTTACTTCTTTTAAGTGTGTCAAATCAATTCAACACTTTTCGAAAGTCAATTTGACTAATTTTCAAAGTTAAATTAGATTACATTAATTCGATATTTTAAATAAAAAAATTAGATATTTAAAAACTATACAAAAATTACTATATATTGCAATTTTTTACATATCAATATGATGAAAAAATATATCGTAAAATGTTAGTCAAAATTCTTATAATTTGACTCTAAAAAAAAATTATGATAATTAAAAGTGGACGGAAGAAGTATTTTTTATCTCTGTCAAATATTTATTGAATTCTCTTGGGATTTAGCAGGAACTCACATTTGAAAGGTATAATTTTTGTAGCATATGCTATTCTTTTGTTTATTTCTAGAGTTTAGTATAATGTTCACTACTTTTTTATGTATATTTTTAATGTCTAGTGTAGTTTTTTTGTGTTGTAAAATTTTAGAATTTAATGGAACTTTTTGGTGTATGTTTTATTTAAAAAAGATATATACAAGGGAAAATGACTGAGTTTTCGAAAAATCGATTAAACTTATGATTTTAAGAGAAATCGAATTTCCAAAAGAACAGAGTCGCCACTTAATTTTTAGTAAAAATACAAGAAAAAATAACAAGATTTTTCAAAAGACTTAAACAGATAAAATCAATTGAAAAAGGGTTCGAGTTCAAATGTACATTCCGAGAAGGTGTTAGGCCCTCGGAATGCCCGCTAACTCGCGGTTGCCCGACGATTTGACCAAACTGATTTTGACTAATTTTAAAATTTTAACCCAAGTAAAAGAATTCATTTATTTTAATTAATTATTTTTTTAAAAAAAATTAACTAAGTAAAGAACTCACGACTTTGACTAATTTTGAAAGTTTAACGAAATAAAAGAACTCATTTGTTTTAACTAATTAATCTTACAATTTAACTAAGTAAACGTACTCATTTATTTTAACTTATTTATTGAAATTTTAAAACAAAAGAACTCGTTTATGTTAACTAATTTTGGAAATTTTAACTAAGTAAAAACTCATTTATTTTAACCTACCTATTTATTACTATTATTATTTTTATCATTTTAATTATCTAAAGGGAAATGAACTAAAGGGGAATAACATGTGATAAGACGAAACATAAAAGTAAAGCTAAGTATGTAAATATTTCAATTTGGATATATGTATGTATGAAAGGAAATGGTTATCTTCGGGAATTTAATCAAGTTAAAACCAATTCACAAATAAATGTTAGTCGACATAACAAGCAAATAAATAAGAGCAAAAGGAAAGAGATATAAAATTTGGGCTTTTGGCCCATTTTCGTGTCCAAATGCCAACGTATACACTGATCGTATACCATCGTATATGGGCTGTATACTGGACTGTTTTATTGTATACCAGCCCATATACTAAATGCATACACTCTATTTCATCTTCCGAACACCTGTAATTTCGTTTTTAACCATGTATACACTGTCCTTTGGCCTGTATATCATGTATACTATTGTATACCAGTGTATCATAGCGTATATCGGCACGTGTATAGTCCATTTTGGATTTCTCCAAGACCTGCAAATCAGTCCCTGCCCCTGTAATTTCTCCCCTTTCACTCGAACAAGATGAAGCTGACCCGAGGAAATTTAACTCGAAGATATGCAAGGAGGGGAGTCTGAAGTAGACTCAAATGGAGTTTTCACATATGCAACAAACGAAAAGAAAGGGAAAACAAATTAGTATTTAACTTATAGCAACGCTAATCATTTAAGGAAAACTGAGCATTTAAAATTGCAAATCTTAATTCTAACCAAATGGTCAGTGGCTTCCTAAGTTTATGTACTAAGAAAAAAAAAATATGAAAGCAATATTACTATACAAATCTAAGAAGACAAATTTAAATATAATTCATATGCATCAAGTGAAGATGATGAAGTAAGAAACAATATTTTCGACATAAAGATAATGCACTTGGATCAATGAGATGTAACTGTGTTGGACAAATGACAATTCATAGAGTTGATATGGTCATTTGAAGGAGACTTTACTCATAAATGTGAAGAAAATCTATAATGAATGAACAAACCCAACAAATGACAAAATAAATTGATGAAGTAAAGTACCTTAATTTGAACGCTAACATGAGACGGCTAACGGAAATTTCGAAATTTAGCATGGTCACTAAGAGCAACAAAATGCATTTTTATAACTATTAGGCTAACGGGTTCCGATGAATGGAGAGATGTATATTAGTAATGAAATGACAGTTGAACCCAATGATATGAAATGAGTAAGAAATCTTAACTACAAGACTATAAACAAGAGTAAAGTAGAAAGCTATAACTACCTTAAATCAGGAATCGAAAACATGATATAGGTGAACAATGTTCTGGCCGAAACGAAAGTAGAGCTTACACTTCATGGGACTAAGCTAATATTAATGAGAATCTACACCAATAACTAAAGGAAGAAACAAATAAAAGACAAGCAACCAAGATTACTATAGCTTCATTCAAATCGATTTGTATCTTAGTAATATGCCTTACATTGTGGAGAACAAAGGGTAGCAACAATAGCTAGTGGTAAGCTCTTACACTGCCATTTTATACCACTAAAATATATATATATACATGACCATATCTTTCATAAGCAGCAGGAGCAGATCATATAAAGGAACCACAAAATAACCAAATCAAATCACACAATGAATTAAATTCGTATAGCATACATCTGAATTTAGCCGAAATAGCAAAACAAATTTAAGAGAAGGAGAGGTTACCTTCTTTGGAGCAGCGTTCCGGGACGAAAATGAGTAGACGAGCAGCGATTGTTCCACCAACGACTTTGGTCTCGTAACTTTGGATGAGAGAATCGGCTGAATGTTTATTTATTTTTTAGTATGAAAGTGTTTTCAAAAGAGAATCCAACTTCCTTGTTTTACTCTAAATTTTTCAACTAAAAAAAATTCCCCCCCTTCACAAATGAACAAAAAGATGTTTATATAAGGGGAAATTAGGGTTCGAATTTTTTTGCGGGGGAAAAGATGAGGGCAATTTCAACTTCAAGGACTACAAATTTGAATTTCAAAAACCTTTCACCATTAAAGGAAAACCTACTTTCTCTGAAATTTTCGCCCTATTCCGAAAGAGGAAGGGGAAAAACGCGTGCCTGCTATTGCTCTGTTGCCACATTAATGGGGATAAGGACGTTTTGAAGAAGAAGCCAAAGGGAAGCAGTGTACTGCCTGGCTGCTGGACGTTTTCTGGGCTTTGGCTTTTTCTGGAAGAAGAAGAAGAATAAAGGGTATAGGGGTGGGGTCGGTCAAGTATTGTTTGTATGTTGTTATAATGTAATGTGTTTGCTGGGTATTTTTATGTATTGGGTCGGGTTATAGAGGTAATGGGCTGGGTCGTTGTTTGCTGTATGTTATTGGAATGTAATGGGTATGGCATGGATTTGTATTGTTGTATTAAGGGTTGCTGCTGATTGTAAAAAAAATAGGGGTGGGGTCGGTTAAAAGTGGATTAAAAACTTAGCCAATTTAAGTTAGTTAAGACAGGTTCGGCTAGTAATTAAATAAGACGAATTAATATAAATTAATTAGCGAGCTTCTTAATCCTAACGGAATAAGATAATTAACTTAATAAAAATATAATTAATATAAACATGAACTAATTAATTCAAAATCGTGATTATGGTTTAAATTAAACTAAGTTAGTAAAACACTTAGCTAAAAAGAAATAAAAAATAATTTTGTATATGATTTTCAAATATTTATAAAATATACTAATTAGACAACATAATTATATAATAATTAACTTAATTATAAACTAATTAACTCGAAATAATAAGTTATTAATTAATTTAAACCAAATAGCCAAATATTTAAATAAGACTAAAATCATTTTGAGACAATTTTCGAATATTTATAAAATATACTAATTTGACACGTAATTATATAAAATACCATATTTATTATTTTAAAATTTATAAAAATGACAAAACTACTTAAAATGACTTGAAAATTATTTTGAATTTTATGAAGCTAATTATTTCAAATCGTTTAGATTTTAGGAAGCTCGATGATTAATTTATATTGGGGAAGGTCAAAATTGGGTGTCAACAGTGTATATGATTAAATCTTTGCTTTTTTTATACTATTTCGATCATATCTGACGAACATAAATTGTTAAATATATAATGGATATTCAAAGTGTTGATTTTTGATAAGTTTAAAGGACCAAAATTGTTCCGTGCATAATTTGTACCACTAAATGGAGTGCGGAGTGTCCTTCTATTAAAATTAAAATTCAAACTAGAATTCCTTAATAAGAATAAGTAAAAGCAAAGAGGCTAGGTTATGTTATCAATCTTAATTAGCTAACGATTCTTTACTAATTAACAAGCATGAAGAAAATAAGAGTTAGATGAAACTAGATATTATATGATCATCACTAAGTTTGTATAAATTTTCTGTATAAAAGTACAGATTTTAAAAAATAGATTGTCCGTCTATAGGAATCTGAAATATGTTTTTTTTGTCTTCTTTTTCAAATCTTTTCAATAACACTTGATAGTTCATCACTTTTTTTTGAATTTATTGGATCTTGTTGAAGCTATTAACACTGTCACGTGATTCTAATATGCCAATTACATAGATAGAAATGACAGGATTGAACCGTGACATTTTGTACCCAAAACAAACGCGTTACTAAGTTGCGCCACATCCTTTCAGTTGTTCCAAAGTGTAACTGTAGAGATTTCTAATCCTAACTAAAACTTCAAGTTCTTATTTGTAAAGAATAAAGCGAAGCAAAACAGCTATTAAACGATGACTTTAGCTTACTAGAGACATCAACATATTGTTTTAGCTTCTGTAAACAAAATCTTTTTCCTCAAGATCCTAGTAAATAGAGGTCAAGCAAAATGATATTATTATCAATTCATATTTGAAGTAGTGGGTATCAAGCAATCCGTTTAGATTTATTTCAGTTATCAATGAAATAAAATATGGAAAAATTTCGTCTAAGTGGTTAATGCAACGAGTCATGTCTTGGAACAAAATATTTCATTACTTCACCATCCCAATTGTGCGGCCTTCAATGTGTTCTCTTTTTTATTTTGTTATTTCCACTCCTTTGATGTTTAGATAACATATTCACATCCCTAGCCACTTTATAAAAGTATATGTCCAACATATTATCTTCCTCGCCCTCATCAAAAAATCTTCGTTCAAATCTAAATATTAGTTGAAACAATCTTTCAAAAATTTCAAGGAAAAAACATAAACATTAGTTGGACTAAATCTCGACATTAAGGTCTCCGGCTCATTCTTCTTTGCAATCACAGTAGCACAAATATTGAAGTTTTTGGACCTAATTTGCTATTAACTGAAAGAGGTGAAACTTTCTCTTCTTCATCGATCAAATCAGCCCACCTAGGAGCACTCATCTCCGTTATTTTTCTTTGAAATAATAAAATTATTTGTGAAATTAGCTTTGAGAGAATGATAACATATCTTTCACCAAATCTTTGTCATTCTTTTGGACAATAAAAACTGCTCAAATTCATTTTGATGTTCACCAAATGAATCCAAATAATAGGAAGGGGCTTTATGAGTCGGGATGTTAAATGTGACTACGAATAACTTGATTGTTGGATTGATTTGTGTAATATAACATCCTGATTTTCTTGAATAATCTTAACTACTTTATAATTAGAACATATAATGTTGGAGTCATAACATTACCATTTTTTCGTATTGTATATTATTTTCATAATAGGCCCCAATCAAAGTCTGGTCCTTTGTAGGAGTTAACCACATCAGTTGTTCCTGTACTTTGTATCTATAAAAAGAGCATCTTGCTCTTTCATTAATAATAAGATCGATACTCTGTTTTACCAATTTATCATTACCTGCATCCATTTTTACTTTGGGTGGTATAATAGTACCAATAAACTTAATCAATCGCAATATAATCTCCCTTTAAAGTGAATTGCAATTATACATGTTGACTTTCTAATAATCCAATGTTATATTTATCCTTAAATTATAATTGTTGAGACAATATTTTTCGTAGATATAAAGTTCTGGCCTTTTCATATGAGAATTTGACAATGAGAGCATACTGTAAATTCTCTTTCTTGATAACGTTTTTAACGTCTTTGAAATCAAACACCATTATGGGTTTTTCATGTAGAAGAATGACTAATTTAAAAAAAATCTCACTGGATTGTTAATTTTTTCTGATTGCCAAAGCATATGTAAATTCCCCTCCATGACTACTGACTACTAAGTACTATGCACCCCATAAATTACTTTGAAGTTTAAGATTCTGATACTTTTATCTTGAATTTTTACAAGTTTATAGTGATTAATAAGAACCTACCCTCAAACATAAATAAATGGAGAAACTATCTAATTATACAAATATATCTACCATATTCATTAATTTTTTCTATAGTTTAAAATAATTACATTTTATCTCACTAATTAATAATTTCATATCATATTTCAATTCAGATACACTTCGATACATATTTTTGCTACCAGATACACTGAAATAGGGAGAGAGAGACTAGTGAGAACGGGAGGGAGGTGAGTGAGATTTGTCTATGTATCTCAGATACATGCAAATCACAAAAAATACATGTATTTGGTGTGATTTGCATGTGTCTGGAATACCAGATACGCGAACGAGATATGAGAGTGACGAGCGAGATGGGAGAGACGAGATTTATCTATGTATCTCAAATAAATGTGAATCTACTTGAATTCAATGTATCTAAAATAAATTACACATAATTTTGACTTTATATATCCTGAGATACATGTATCCTAAACTAGTGGAATTTCTACAAGTTACCTAAATAAATATGACTCCAACTAATTAGTGATCTTCCAAAACTCAAACCTCACTAGCCTTTTGCATTTCTTGATGGATCAACTGTGATAGTTTCGCGTTTCAAACTTCATCAGCAACGGAATTTAGATTTATTTGAACTGATTATACTCCTTTTATTTTATTTTACTTGATCCTTATAATATTTTTTTCTATTCTATAGCACTATGGCAGTGGATAAATTTCTTATACGATGAGCAATTATCAGCCATCCAATCATCTTTTCTTGAAGAAGAAACAAACAATATAAACTTTTAGTAATAACGTCTTTTTCCCAACATTTTTAGATATAGAGCAAAAACCTGTTCCCGACCAAAAGTACAAATTAACCTTTTTTTTTAATCAAAGACCCAGGGCTATTTTATTAAAACAAAGGAATATGTACAATAAGTGGCCCAACTAGCCAAAGCCCAGAAAGGAAAAGGAAAGTAACAATCTGGAAAAAATACACATGAAGTTTCTAAAGAGAACTCCATTGTCGAAGAAGAGCTCTCAAGCTCGCAATCGCAAAGAGCCACGAGGAAGAGGTTCTGTGAGAATATTTCTAGCAGCTCCAATTCTTCTTAATCAATGCCTTCCAACTTGAGAAGTCAAAAGAAACGGGTCTGTTCATCAAATCCATTCAACCTTGTTACTTCAGTTGCATCTTGAGCTTCCAAACACTCTAGGGCATAGTTAAGTACAAATTAACCTAACTCGTCACAAATTGCATAAAATAAAATGTCTTTATAAATTTCTGGAGATAATATCTTTGTACTTAACTATGCCCTAGAGGTTATTTCGGTAGATCGATGCATGAGCGGAGGCTCCCATGCCCCTAAAAATCACTCGATTTTTTTTTATAACCTCAAAGATACTTAACTATTGAATATTATACCTATAAAGTCACTAACGTAATTAATTAATTTTTCATTAAAATTTGTTCAAATGAAATCTTTATTTAAAACAAAAATTACAAAAAAATAAAAAGATATCCTTTAAATCCGCTAAAAATACTCCTAAATTTTAAACATTTTATTTTACCCATTTTCCTCCTAAATTGCTCTCTCTTATCCACTCTTTTTCCTCTTATATTACTCCTTTCGTCCACAATTATTTGGCAGGTATACTAAAAATAGATGTCCAAGATTAATTATCAATTTAAACAATCAAGAAACAATTAATCACCTTTTTCCAATTCTGCCCTTAATGATAGTGTAAGTCAATTGAAAAGTTATGTAGACTTTTGGTATTCTTCGTATAGTAGGGTTATATTAGTCAAATTACACCTTCTATTAAATTTTCCTTGAGGGGTGTGCATGACCTTACCCTGACAAACAATTGTGGACGGAGGGAGTATTTACTAGTGAACAAGCGCGCGGTCATAAAAATTATCTATAAATTCAAAAGTCACTCACTTATGTGTAGTTATCTTAGAAAGTCACTCAGTCATGAATATTTATCTTGAAAAATCACTTTACCAATCTAAATAATTTTTTCATTAAATTTTGTTGACATGAGATTTTTATTTTATACTAAATTTTTCAAAAATAAAAAAAGTGTCAATTTTAATCATTTTATTGATGCACCCCACTAAAATTATATAGAAATATATATTTATCAAGATCACTTCATTTTATATGCATTTAAAATAATATTTAAAGCAATCACTCAAATATGACGACATAATTTGCTACTCTAATTTTTCTCATATAATTAGAAACATTGAAATCTTTGTTATTGTCTAACTATTGTTCAAACGTTGACATATATAATTAACTGATTACTCAATTATAAGCTAATTTTTTTTATATAAAATGCGTAACTGAGTTGTGTGTTTTTGTATTTATAATTTATATTGGTACTTTAGATATAAGTTTGTTTTACTAACTATAGTTATAAATTTTGTTATATTATATATTACTTAATTTTAGTGGGACACGTCAATAAAAAGTTTATAATGAAGATCTTTTTATTTCTTAAAAATTTAGCTTAAAATAAAAATTTCAAGTTAACAAAAATTAATGAAAAAATTCTTTAAATTGGTTGGGTGACGTTTTATGTAGAATACTAATAGTTGAGTGACTTTCTAAGATAACTATTCATAGTTGAGTGACTTTCTAAGATAACTACACATAGTTGAGTGACTTTTGTGTTATAAAATAAAGTTAAGTGACTTTCTGAGAAAACTACTCATAGTTGAGTGAATTTTTGAGAAAGTTATTCATAGTTGAGTGACTATTTGAGATATTATCTCCTAATCCTACTTCCTCTTTTTGTTTAGTTACTTCCTTCAATCTTTCCTATGTTGAATTATTTTCTTGTTTCTCTAGTTCTCGTTATTAGTTAAATATTGTGCTCTATTTTTTAAAAGTCAAAAAGAAAATTTACTTCTTTCTACTTTAATATTTTCATTACCTATTCGAAACTAACGTTTTTGATCTTTCCTTGTCTGCTATAATAATTGTCTTCTCCTAATTAATTGACAAATTATTTAGTCAAAGTTAGACTTTTAAATTAAAATGATAGGCACTAACAAATTAAAGAGACTTAAGTACAATAAGTGGTACTTAACAATGAGTAATTGGAAATAAATGAGTAACGCATATTGAGGAGAAATATTTTAATTAGTGACCTTTGATTATTATTATTTTATTTTAATAACAAAAACAGATTAAGAAAATAGGAGAATGGTAAAATAAAAAAATATGGTTGTTGATTATAACATCACCTTGTTTATGTCCAACTTTATATAAATATATATAGCTATAGATTTTAAATTACAAGCTCCCATATATTTTTAAAATAAAATAAAATTGTGATGATAATTCAACTTAAGTTTTTTGATTTGTTAAACTATTTATAATAACTTACATTCAAATTACTCATGTAAAATACAAATTCAACACATACTAAAATGAGATCATTCTAATTTGAAAAACACAATTCACTCTTTTTTAAGTTGGAACTAAATTTGAAACTTTAAATATGTCAAAATTAAGTTTGATTTCATTTCTCAACCAATAAAGTTTGTCCAGAAGAAAATATAATTTTTTTGGCATTATTTTTTAAAACTATGATTAAGCCTGCCTTCTGATATTTAAATGGTTAGAAGTAATATCAATGAAAGCAATAATCAACTAAAGTGTATACGGCGAGAAAATTTCCTTTCAGCATTCTTAATTTCTTATTCATGAACAATTTATCATTTCCGTAACCACCTACGAAAACACACAAAGAAATTTTATTTTTTTACATAAAATAATGAACAAAAAGAAATAAATCGATAAATTTTTTTTAAAAAAAACGAAACACATACACGATGTTTATTAAGTAAAATTGAACCTTCTCGATATTTAAATAATAATATTTACAAGAATAATCAAAAAGATATATTTGAGATACTCATAATAAATAGTTTGATAAACAGTCCATTTGCTCCTCTTAAAATATACCAAATCTCATTCATGCACTGACGAACCTTGGTTTAATATCTCTTTTATACTTTGAATAGTTGTTGTAGTCAGTTGACACATTTTTCTTTTCACTTTCTGTAATTGATTGAACAAACCTGCGTATAGTAAAAATGATTCTAAATAATTAAAGGAAAGATATATAATTATTATGAGAAAATGATATAAAACAAAGATAAAAAATCAGAAATTATCGGTGCAACAATAGAAATCATAATAATAAACATGCATAAGCAAAACTTGAGAAGAGATCATAAGATCACCTAAAACCATGTATAACCAAGAATAAGTAAATCATGTTTCTTCGATTCATATAAGAAAATTTGTCAATACAATTATCCAATAAAAATAATAATTAATATTACCTAATGAAATATAGCATCATGGGTTTTTCATCTAGCATAGTGGGGAAGCTTTGGAGCTTTGTTCCTAAATTTCTATCATTTTATTGAGTGTCAAAATTTGAAAAGGTGTCATATTTAATACCTATAATAAATATTATTTATTGGGTAGGAGAAGGAGATTATTGCAATGAATTTTCTGGGCAAAAAACGTGCAACACTAATGCTTACTAAGTATGTTAACGTATTAATAAATGTTAATTATGGGGAAGGAGAATAAGATCATTTTTTCTGCAAAAAACGTGCAACATCAATGCATAGTGATACTAATAAGGCACTAATGCAATACTACAGCTTTTATGTTTGTGTTTTAATAATGAGAGAATTAAATACTATGCTTTAATTAATATTCAATAAAAGCTTAAAGCAAAAATTAAAAAAAAATAAAATAAATAATTGCAAATGCTGGCCATCGGAGGGTGCCACATCAGTGATTTTAAATTCAGATTTATATAGATATATAGATTTTACCCATTTCCTTCCTAAATTATTCTTGCTAAAAATATATTATTGACCCTATGGACCTTAATTAATTCATATATGAATCATGCACTATTTCATTTTAATTAAAGCAAAGCAAATCAAATGCAAAAACCATAGCTTATTGTCCTCCCTCTCCAATGGAAATGTAAGATCATAAAAATTTGAAAGAGAAAACATTTTTTATTAATTAAAGTGACCTCCACAATGATAAATAAGAAAGAATAATTTGTTAGCTGTTAAGCAACTATAAGAATAATTGTGACAGATTTGTTAGCTGTTAAGCAACTATAAGAATAAGAAAAAACTGTTTTACCCTATGTGGTACTACTATTCATTATGAAAATATTTTTTTGGGTCATGATTTTTAAAAACTTTTACTATTATTAATTATTAATATATTTTATATTATTTTCAGATACTTATATAAAATGTAATTTTATCCTAAATTTGAAATTTATATTCGAATTTGTAGCAAAACTAACTACTGTAGTATGCACCGCCACATCGAATGAAATAATAGAGTAGTTTTCAATTAAAAATCCCCCCTTTCCTTTTAAATTTACGTGGTTTTAAGTACGTTATAAAATTTATGTGGTTAGAAATATGATATTAAAAATAAAATGATAAATTAAATTTTATTTATTTTTTAATATAAAAATATTGCCAGAGTAAACTTGAAAAAAAGAAATCATCGGATAGAAATATTTCCATATATTAGAAATTTAAACTTAAAAAAAATATTTCCATATATTAGAAATATTTCTTTTCTATGATGGCTTGTTGCAGTTTATCAGCCATCCAATCATCCTTTCTCGAAGAAGAAACAACTGTAAAAACTTCAAGTAGTTATGTCTTTTTTTCCAACATTTTTAGCTATAGATTTCTAGAAATAATATCTCATATAACACTCAATTATGGATTCTTCTCTTAAAAAGTCGTTAATTTTCCTTTGTAACTTCAAAATTATTCAACTGTTGTATTTTCTCTATAAAGTTATCCAATATATTTAATTAATTTTTCGTTAAAATTAGAAAGATAGTATTTTAAATCATTTAATGACCTACTAAAAATATAGTATTGATCTATTCATTTTACGCATTTCCCTCCTAAATTGTTCTCTCTTCTCCAGTCTTTCTCCTCTACGTTCTTTGATTTACTCATTTCCCTCCTAAATTATTCTTGCTAAAAATATAGTATTGACCCTCTAGACCTTAATTATTAATTCATATATGAATCATTCACTACTTCATTTTAATTAAACCAAACCAAATGCAAAAATACAGCTTATTGTCCTCCCTTTTTTCCAATAGAAATGTAAGATCATCAAAAAATTTAAAGAGAAAAACAAAATTCTTAATAAAGATAACATCCACAATGATAAATTTGTGACAGGTTTGTCACCTTGTATTAAAAAATACTTTTAAGAAAATATTTTACATCATACCAAACAGATCGTTGAGTTAGTCCGTCAATTAATTTGGATTGGCTGTTGCCTAAACCAAAAAGTGCCAAATTTTGTCATACAATAGAAAATTAAAAAATTTGGTTCACCTAGTAAAATTAGACACGTCCCATTTCCCAATTCATGCTTAAATTTAGCGGAGTTTTTGAATATTTAAGCGATAACCGTCATTCCAAAAAAATAAAATAAAAACTGCGCCGATTTATCCCACCGCCCTTTCCTCTTATGCCCTTTCATGGTCAATTTTTATTCTTATTTTTTTAATATATTTTTGTTTTTTCTTTTGTTGTTTTTCATTAATCAAAATTAATATGGGATTGTTTAAGTATGAAATTTTAAATACGTTACGTTACGAGATATATTCAAATAGTTAAATTTGTATTGATGATTATATTATTTTATTTTAACAATTTTTATTTTTTATTTTATTTTTCTCTCATATTGTTCTTCATTAATTAAATTAATAAAGTATCTTTTTTATATGACTTTAGATATATCAATGGGATATACTCATCAAATTTGTGTTTTATGTAATTAATTTTTTTCCTTTATAGTTTTGTAATTTTTATTTTTCTCTATCTCGTTATTTTTCATTAATTAAACTAGTAAGGTGTTATTTTCTATACTCAAATAATTAGGAGTCGTTTGGTTTGAATTCAAGTTACGGCGGAATTAGTTATGATAGGATAAATTATGATGTGATTAGTTATGATGAGATAAATTATGTTGAGATTATTTTTTATTGAGTGTTTGGTTTATTGTATTAAAATAATAGGCTTTGCATAAATTTTAAGAACAATTTATTTGCTTACAAAAGTACCCTTCATGAATGTGAAAAGTGATGTATAAAAAAGGTTTAAAACGATATTTTTGTCATTTACTTATTTTATCCTGGGATAAGTTATCCTGAAATTACTATACCACCCATGGGGAGGGATAACTTATCCCGGTACTAATTATTAATCCTGGTATAAGTTATACCGGATATGTCAACCAAACAACAAATTAAGTGACACTACAATTTAATCACATGACTATTTTATGTAATCCTTCACACCAAACGACCCCTTAAAGTTGTGTTTTACGTAACTAATTGATATTATTTCATCGCATACGAACAATTTTCTAAAATTAGGTTTCGTAATTTCTTTTTAAAGATGTTAACAAAATAAAACTTTTTTCAAGATTTATGAATTAGTGGATAGCAAATACCATTTAATTATACAAAAAATAATAATTAAAATTTAGAAGGGAGTGAAACTACTTTAGTATTGTGAGAAAATTAAATTACTAAAAGTGGCAATCTTGTAGTATTTGCAGAAACGGGGACCATAAGTTCAACAACTAGTTAGTTAAGAGGACCCCAGTTCCCTCCATGCTTAATGGCAACAACGTGTGCCAACACGTTCAGCAACGTAACATTTGCACTCTATTTATACACTTTCCACAAGCACTCCACAAACTGAATATCCATCGTATTTGTCCACTTAACCTGCCCTTTCAATTTCACTCATCAGCTAATTTGGATCCTCCACCGTCCATGGCGGCCGGAATTTCAGCCTCCGCTGGTTCCCGAACTATTTGCCTCCGTCACAACCCGTTTCGCGGTCCAAAATCCGCCTCAACCGCCCCGCCAGTTCTGTTCTTCTCTCCGTTAACTCGCAATTTTGGCGCAATTTTGCTGTCTCGAAGAAAGCCGAGGTTGGCGGTTTGCTTTGTGCTGAAGAATGAGAAATTGAATAGTACTATCCAAAGTGAGAGTGAAGTAATACAGGATCAGATACAAGTAGAGATTAATGAGGAGAAGAGTTTAGCTGCCTGTTGGCTGGCGGAAAAATTGGCGAGGAAGAAATCGGAGAGGTTTACTTATCTTGTGGCGGCTGTCATGTCTAGTTTAGGGATTACTTCTATGGCGATTTTGTCAGTTTATTACAGATTTTCATGGCAAATGGAGGTACTAATTAATTACTCCATTCTTTTGCTTCTTCTTTCTTAAGCTTAATCTTAAGCTTTTTGGATAGGGTGGAGAAGTGCCTTTTTCTGAAATGTTAGCTACATTCACTCTCTCGTTTGGCGCTGCCGTAAGTTCCGTTTTTTCTTCTTCTCATGTTCAATACTTCTTCCATTTTGTCCCAATTTGTATGACATATTTCTAATTTGAAATTTTTTATTATTATTTTAACCGTGTATTAGGACATAAACCTTTAAGGTCTTTTTAAAATATTACTACATATTTAGAAGTTAAATAGAAAAAAACATAATTCATAAAAATTAACAATTAAAAATATTCGAAGGACTTATTAATTGCAGTAACAAGTTAACTTTATTTGACTCAAAATTCAAACTATGTCATGTAAATTGAAACAGACAATGTTTAAAAAGTAGTAATAAAAGTTTCGTGATGAGCTGATTTGCTGTAATTTAATGCTGTGGTCCTTCAGGTAGGAATGGAGTACTGGGCGAGATGGGCTCATAGAGCACTATGGCATGCTTCTTTATGGCACATGCACGAGGTTAATTTCCAAATTTACACTAAATTATTAGACACTAATTTTATTTTAATTTTTTAAAAAAATTTCATGTCTAAATTTACGATTAAAATTAAACTATTTAACAAATTGGACATGAAGAATTATAATCATGATGAAATATGTCTTCTTGTATCAAAAAAATTCATCAAGTCAAGGAGTTTATCTACCGAGTAATTATAGATAGAAACAAAAAGAGAGAAAACATAAATCTCCCTTTGATTTCTTTCAACATACCTCCTTTCCTTTGTGCTTATGCTTACCTCTTTTATTTTAATTTTTCAATCTAATTGTAATTTATATAAGAAATATGATTTAACTAATTTATCCTTTATGATTTTTCAAAATTAATATTATAAGATTTTTTTTCTTTTCAAAAAGCACTTTTAATTTTTGAGGAAAAAAAAACAACCTTTTTATCTTTAAAAAAATCTTTTGCTATTCTCCAGAAGCCCCTTAATTATTTTCTTTCAAAAAATTATCCAAACACCTTACTTTTTAAAGATAAATATTTTATGAAGGAAAAGGCCTTTTTACCTCTCGGAATTTACTAAACAATTTATAAGGCTCGTTTTGAATCATATTTTTTTTTTCTTAGAAAATATCATGTCTAGTCACTAGTGTAATCTAAATTGAAAGGGAGAGAGAGTAATCTTTGTGTCCAGTTTATCCTGTATAGTTTTAATCTTATCAAATCTAAGGGTCAAAATCTACTTAAAGAAAACACCTCATGAATCATGATTAAACTAATTAAGAGATCTATATTTTTTACATTCCTTATTGGCAGCGTATTTGTTGGATGGCAAGATAGAAATATCCAAAACTATTGTTGTAGGGATTTCTTTTTGGATTTTTTTTTGGGAAGTATTGAATTACATTTTAAAACTAAAATTTATATATTTAAAGCTATACATAACGTATTATAAGTTTGTGATTTTTTTCATATTAGTGTGATACAAATATGCATTTTAACATCTTAGTAAAAGTTCATATAATTTGACTTTTAAAAAGCAAAATGTAACAAATATTTTAGGATGGAGAGAATATATAATTCCCCTTTTGGTCATTCCTCATCCCTGTTAACATTAACCTTCTTATAAACTGTTAGTGAAAAATTACAATATAACAAAATTGCAGGATTACAACTGAAAACAAAATGAAGAAATAAAAATCTATAAAAATCTCTTCATTCTGAGGCGTGGATATTCCGCTCTCTTTAAAGAGATTCACGTCCACTGCAACAAATGTTTTTCACCAGTCCAGCAGCAGTCCTTCTTGATTTGTCCCCTCTCGGATAGAACAACCTAATCACAAAGTATAACTCAACAACTCTGGACAAGAGTTGAGTTCAAAGCTCCACAAAAAGAACACATCCCTTCAACTAATAATAACTCTCTTTTTGACAAACTTTATGCACTCTATATTTTTCTTGTGTATCTTTTTTTTTTTTCTTAACTTAATGATATTAACAACCAAATGGAGGGGGACATAAAGCCTAACCTCCTTTTACATCTTAGGACAAGAAGATTCTGTCCTATTAAGGTTCTGATCCAGAAATCTTAACAAAACAAAACAACTATACTAATGCATTTAAACTAGAATTGTTAATGCATATAAATAAAAGTATTCAAGGTGGATCAAAATGCCAGGTATTAGTCTTCTTGGCTCTTCTTCGAAAGGTGGGAAAATCCAATTTAAGCTTCCAAGTTGTTCCTGATGGCGTAATCTATTTGATCATCTTACATGTAATCACTGTTTTGAAGTTCTCGGTCATAAGACAAACTCTGCTCCAATTCCCTTAATCTGAAACAAAGATTGAAAACAGAGATTTTTCTATTCTCGTATTTTTGAGTGCACCTTGCTTTCCAAATTTCTCAGCACGTACACTATCATCGGAGTAGAAATTTATGGATGATATTCTTTGAGTTGTTGTCTCCACCACTGCCAGATGATAGCTAGCATTTATTATATGCCCTATGTTAAGTCCCAATGGCCTAAAGATGATGTCCCACGTATGTTTGACCATTTCACTTCCTGCAAAAACATGGTCAGTTGTTTCTTGACCACCTTCTTTCATAGAAAACACATATTCTCCCAAGAAGACCAGTGATAGCTATTCTTACCATCTTTTTCACCCCAGAAGAAATTTACAAATTAAACTGCATTTCAATTTCTTTAAGAACAGTGACAGGAGGCAGCAAAAGTAGGGTTAATACCTCAGATGGTCACTCAACTATCCACTTTTGCCTCAAAAAGTCACTCAACTTTTAATTTTCACTAAAAAATCACCATATGAGTGACTTTCTGAGGAAAGACTAGATAGTTGAGTGACCATCTGAGGTATTAACCCAGCAAAAGTATGTAGAGCCTGAGATTGGAGAATGTGTTTAATAATCACAGTCTTACCTCCCGGAGAAATAAGAAATTCTTAACCATTAGTATTTTATTTAATAATATTAAAATGCTCCCAAACCAACGCAACATAAACTAATTCAGAGTGTATGACTCTAAAATCTACATTCATGCATATAATGACCCTACAACTTGCATTCCATTCCTTACAATATTTAGACAAATAATTATACTGTTTCACGTTCACTGTCCTTATTTCTCCAATATTTTCATTTTTTATATTCATTCTAACATATGATCGGATAAGTTTTCCACTGAAACCTTCACTTTTGCACAACTAAGTCGAGTCATATTGATTGTTGTCATGTCAAGATCGATGTAGAGGAGTGTCAACTGATCGATTATGCCGATGAGAAAATAGATTCCTTCACATATATAGCATGTGAGTAAAAGATTTGGAAATGGAGTCCAAGCCATCACTTTTGTTGTCTCTTCCTCTATTTTGAATTTTGAATGATAAATCAATGGTCTTATTTGATATGAATCTGCGATTGGCAAAGATAGGGTTTGCATGAGAGAGGAAATATAATTAGATAGTTCTTCAAATCAAGCTTTCAATTTTATGTGTACCTCTAGATAGAATTGACATATTTTATTTAATAAACTAATAGCATGTTAATTTGGCCAAGTTTCTGAAATCTATTTTTGGTAAGAAATAGTCTGCATTTAGCTAGTAAATTTTAAAAGTAGTTTTAAGTAGCAATTAGTATTTGACCAATTTTGTTAAAAGTGTTTTAAGTGTAAAAAAATTATTTAATTATAAAAAGATGATTTTTTTTTTTGAATAAACTTAAACGGGAAAAAATGGTTACATAAATTGATACTCCATTCGTTTCAATTTATATGATTCATATTTTTTAGTTAATCTAAAAAAGAGACATTTTCTTATTTAATAATATTTAATGACACTATCAATATTTATCTATATGGATCCCACTTATTTGCCAAACACTATTTTGGTACTCCCTCTAATACAATACAATTGACTTGTTAGGATGTGACATCCTTAGAAAATATGTAAGACTCGTATATTTTTCAATATAAAATAATGTCAATAATTCATTTATATTGAGTTAGAGGGAGTAACCCCTAATATGTAATTTGCTTTATTGGTTCCACGTAGGAGAATAGTCATAAAACATGATTTTTACGTGCTATAGATAAAGTTTTAACAATAAAATGTAAGATTAAATACTTTCAGGATCTTGAACACGATAATCTTACATAGAGATTGTTAGGGGCACATACCTGATGCGAAAGACATCATCACAGAGAGAAGCGAAAGCGTTAGTCGTAAATTGACTTCTATCTCCTTGCCCTAACTTTATGTCACCACAATCGTCAGCGATGAAATTAATGTAGAGCATATGTGATAACCCTAATGGGTGGAGGGAGGACAATTTATAGAGGTTATGACTTAATCTGGTACGTCCATCAAGTAACCAATGTACGGACAAGATTTATTCCTTATTAAATATGATTTATGGTATTACTTGGGTTACAAGTAAACTTGGGTCATAAGTAAGAAATAATTAATAATAATTCTTACATTCTTCCACTTGGTCCAATGACCATATAACATTAATATTTCATAAACATTAGTTGTGCATATAACAAACCTCTTCTATAATGTCCATCATACATACCACATATAACAAACTACTAATGCGAGTTATGGCGGTTGTACATAAATTTTAAGCTACATACTTCCTTCCATATACTACTAGCAACTTATCATACTAGGTTCGTAAGCTATAAAAACATATAACATTACGGTCCACAATAATGTCTCATAGAGACTAATCTTGTAATATCTCAAAACAATAATGTGTACACCATTATGAGAAACAAGAAATTCGTTAATGTGTATTGGAAACACATAATTGAGCTCAGAGTGTTAAAACATCATAAATGTATCAATCATAAGTACAATCAAGACCCATTCTTTGAACATGTTCTTTAAATGTCTTTGGTTGTAAGCCCTTTGTTAACGGATCTGCAATCATGAAATTAAGTTCTAATATTTTCAAGTAACACTCTTTGTTTCTGAACTTCTTCCTTAATAGTAAAGTACTTTAATTTCATATGTTTGGCACATTTGAAGTACTTATTGTTCTTGAAGAAGAATATTGTTGCAGTATTATCACAATAAATTTTCAGCAGCTTGGTAATGGTGTCGACAACCCCAAGTCCTGAAATAAAGTTCTGCAGCCATAATGCATGAATTGTGGCTTCATAACATGCCATACACTTTCTTTGCAATTTTCCAATGATCAATTCCAGGGTTACTATGATATCTTCTTAGCATTCCGACCGCAAAACTACTATCCGGTCTTGTGCAAGTTTGAACATACATCAAACTTTCAACAATAGAAGATGAAGGAATTGATTTCATTTCTTTTCGCTCTACATCATTCTTTGGGCATTGCATGAGATTAAATTTGTCCCATTTTTTTTAATAGGAACTATTCTTGCTGAACAATTGTTCATGTTAAATCTCTCTAGAACTCTGTCGATATAGCCCTTTTGAGACAGTCTCAATAATCTTTGTGATCTATCGTGGAATATTTCTATCCCTATCACATAGAATGTCTCACCCATATCTTTCATTTCAAAGTTCATAGAGAGAA